AGGGAAAAGCTCCTCAAGTCAGTTTTAAAGGCAATGCTCTATTCTAGATCCCTGGGCAAAATGGCACATGCATTAGTGCGCCTGTACACCAATTTTCAGGAATAATTTTGTAGGGTTTTGTTTGTCTGTTTGTTTTTAAAAATCAAAACCAAAAAGGTGACAGACAGGACTACTTGCACCCAGTAGAGAAGGTGCTTGAGCTGATGTGTACTGTAAGGATGTAAAGTCATTACTAGGATGTGAACAGAGTTGCAGCAAAACATGGCACTTGTGTCTGCAGTAACTGAGCTGTTAAACATCAGGTTCATGGGCAGCAGGGGACAAAATGATGTGTTTGGCCTCCTGCTTTTTGCAAGGTTTCATTGCCCATTGGGTTAGGGATTAGATTCTCTTTGTCTCAAATTGCTCCATTCAGAGATACAGTGTCCAAGACAAGATCTATCCTGCTGCTCCAGGCCTGTCTGTGGAAAAATGTCTGTTCTTCCCTTTAGCCAATTTCTTTTTTGAAGTCCTTTTGAATACCTCTTCTACAGAGAATTTAAAGATGTTCTCTTAAAGTTGTTAAACCATGTGTGAGATCACACAATGGGGAGACGATCCACACTTGCAGTCTGTAGTGTAACTGTGCTCAGACCCAGAGCATTCTGCAGGGGAACAGCTGTGTCAGTTGTTGCCCAAGGGAAGCAAGCACCAAGCAGTCTTTTGACCTGGCTCCTAAGCAGAGAGAGAGCACAGTGAGTACTCAAGCTATGAACCATGCTAATAGGCCCCGACAGTTAATAGACTGATTTTAAAATCTAGCAGAGTTGTGGCTGAATGGATCTGAACTTCCTCTTAGAGAAAATGTTTACTACTGCATCAGAAACTTTCCTTAGATTAGCCCACTTGAGCCCCACGGAGCTGCTGTTGCAGCAGGATCTTTGAAACTCCCTCAAGAAGGATCTGTGAGAGCAAGTAAAGACAGGATGAACCATTCAGGCCTTCCTTTTGGTGGCATGTGTGTGTGCTACCTTAAAGCATTATCAGCAGCGACATAGGTGCATGTGGTTTGCTTTGTAATGGAGTTAAGAGCAGCAACACTTCCCATTTTTCATTCTATCAATTCTGGGATCCATCTTGTTGTCCCAGCACACACGGGAATTTCACTTAGCAGTTCCTGCAGATGTTCTGGTAAGGCCGCTGACCCTTCCTTGTGCACAGACACAGACCTGACCTTGTCCTGGACAGAGGTTGGAGGAGAAGGTGCCTGACCGTCTGCACTGTACACCGGAGCACAAATTGTGTAACAGGAGCCACGAACTTTCAGTAAAGACAAAGACAGGCTTATTGTAATGATCTCTGCGTTGGAAGTGGAGTGGTGGTGGGGAATTCCCAGCCATGGGTATCCTTTCCAGTTCCAGGTTTGAGGAGGTTTGAATTGCTTATAAATACCCTCTCTGAGTCTGAGAGCACACAAGACTATCTCCATCTCCTTTGGCTTTGCCTTTCTGCAGTGGTGAGTGATGTTCTGAATTTGTGAACTATATGCGGTGGTTTTAACTGGTATTTGGGAACAGGACTTAATGCTTTAGTGTGGGGGGCTCCTTTGCGTTCATGATAGGAGCAGCAAGAAATGCTAAAATACAAGTTCCTTGTGTCTGTCGGCCTCTGCTGTAGAGTTCTGAGCTGAGCTTGCAGTCACACTGAGGGCAGCAGTCCCTGTGGGAGGAGAAGCAGGTTCCTGGTGTAGCCACCAGTGCTGGGGCAGCTGTCTGGGTGCAGCTGTGGGTGTGAGGGATGCTGCGTCAGCAGTCTCTCAAAGGTGCTCCAGAACTGCTCATCTCTTTGATTATCTCACAGCTCTGGGTCAGGCTTGGGCCAGGAACCATGAGGCTCTGCATCTCCCTCGTGTTGTTCTCCTTTGTTCTCTGTGCAAGTGCTGACATGCTGCTAGTCCAATCTGGACGATTTCTCTTGGATGCTGCGAAAGGTAAGTTGCTGTTACAGGCCTTGCTCTCAGGAACCCTGTCCCTGAACAGAAGTTGCTGGCAGTCAGTGGACGCAGTCCTTGGAGCTGGGAAGCCCTCAGCTCCACATTAGGGACTCCACTGGTTTCTGCTGCTAGAGGAGGGCCTGGATCAACCCCCACAGGCCCTTTCCGTGGGCACAATGCCCTTGCAAAGGCTGATGTGGAGAAGTGCCTCTCTGTGTTATTGCTTCTTGGGCCCTTCAGCTCATGGCTGAAATGGTACTTAACTCTTTTCTGGGATGACTCTTTAACGTCAACAACATCTCTGTTTCTCTGCTTTGTTCAGGGGCAGCAGATATGTACAGAGCATACCGGGACATGCGCGAGGCAAATTATAAAGGTGCTGATAAATATTTCCATGCTCGTGGGAATTATGAAGCTGCCCGAAGAGGACCTGGCGGTGCTTGGGCAGCCAAAGTGATCAGGTATGATTTGGCTTGTTAACAGTGAGTTACTGGGGATCCCGGCACTCCAGTTAGAGTGAACTCCTTCTGGACCTGCACTCGGCTTGTGACCTAGAAGGACAGTGGAGGGGAGGGGCAGCAGTTAATGTCTGAATAGCCTGTCTGTATAGGAATGATGCCTCTCTTCCCACATGAGCGTGAGCCTTTCTTCTTGTCTTCCCAAGGAGGCGATGCCTTAACCTCTGCCATTTCTGGTGATAAGGAACTCTGTCCTTGCCAGTTCATTTCCTGATGTGACAGTGATGGATTCCACTGTGGTTCTCAGACGAGGACTGAGCATATGCTTGCATGTCACTTTGAGAAGTCCTGTGGAAAAGCTAGTTTTACATGAGTGAGGATATCAACACAAAGGGGAGATAAATGCTTGTTGGTTCAGGTGGCCTTTTTTCTTCCTGCTAGTGATGCCCGGGAAAAGTGGCAAAGTGACGTGAGTGGCAGAGGTGCAGAAGACACCCGGGCTGACCAAGAGGCCAACGAGTGGGGCAGAAACGGAGGGGATCCCAACCGCTACAGACCTGCGGGCCTTCCCAGCAAATACTAACGCTGCCCCCTAGAAGGCTGTCTGTGCTCCCCTGTTACACCTCTTCTGTGCTGCCAAATAAAGAGATTCTGAAAACTGCTCCCCCTCGCCGCTGGCTTTCCTTCGGGGCTGGGGACCTCAAGTCATAGT